AACGTGTGGTTGCTATGTTTCTTGATATCAGCACTATCTTTGTTGATTTCTTCATAAATGCTTAACCATGAAGAAAGCTAGAGGAGAAGAAAGCGAAATGGAGACTTTATTTCTTGGTAAACACAATTATGACAAAAATTGATAAAAGGAAAGAGGAAAGAATAGAATATAAAGAGAAAAACTTACAGAAGCCACGTTATCTAATTAACCTTTAACCAACTAACGAAATATCTAGCTAAGCTAATTAAGCTATTCCAACACCCCCTCAAGTTGGAAGGTGTTTGAACTCCTAACTTGGCAAGAAGTTTGTAATGAAGAGTGCTCGATAGACTTTTGGTGAAGATATCAGCTCAGACGTAGGAACATGCGCGAGAGTGATCAAGCCTTTCCTGCACAAAATGACAGTCATATTCAATGTGTTTAGTGTGCTCATGATATACCGGGTTAGTGGCAATGTAGATGGCAACTTTGCTATCACAACGAACAGGAATAGGAACAATATGAAGAACATCAAGAACAAAAAAGTGAGAAAGCCAAGCCAGTTCAGTAGTAACACGCTGAATAGAGCGACACTCAGCCGCTGTTGAACTCAGAGAGACAATGGCTTGCTTCTTGGCCTTCCAAGAAAAAAGGGCTACCTCCTAAAAGAATGAAATAGCCACTTGGGGACCTCCAAGTGTTGGGGCAAGCTGCCCAGTCAGAATCACAATAAGCTTGTAGAGAAAAATCAAGTGATGAATTAAAATAGAGACCCTGAGAATGAGCAGAATTGAGGTATCTGAGGGTATGATTTGCAGCCTCACAACGAGGAACTCTGGGATAGTGGGATCTTGCATAAATTGGCTGTGAAACTGCACTGCTTAAGCAATGTCTGGCCTGGTGTTGGTCTAGAAAATTGAGCTTTCCTACAAGGCATCTATAGATAGAAGGATCTTGAAGAGGAGGTCTTGTGTTGGCCTTGAGCTAAAGATTGGCTTCTAAGGGACAGGCAGCATGAGAAGTGGGAGGACAACCAAATTCTGTGAGCAAACCCATTACCCATAGTGAACTTTCTTTGAGTGAGAATCAAACCATCATTCTCATAAACAGCCTCCAATCCAAGATAATATCCCAAATGACCTCTTTGATCTTGAAAAGATTCTCTAGGTGATGTTTAAGAATAGTGATTTCAGCAGCATGATTTCCTGTGACAATGGTGTCATCCACATTCACAGCAAGATGAACAACACTAGACCCTATTTTCTTAGTGAATAGGGTAATCATTTTTGGAAGAAGTATTACCGGTGGACCTCAAAGTGGTACGTAGTTTGGCATACCATTGGCGTGAAGCGTGTTTAGGACCATAGAGAGATTTCTTTAATCTGAGAACTGATTTAGGATTTGAAAGATGCATGCCCAGAGGTGGTTTCATTTAGATCTCCTAATCCAAATCCCCATGTAAGAAGGCATTGTTTACATCAAGTTGAAAGACAGGCCAATCGTGTCTCATGGCAACAATGAGAAGAGCTCTAACAGTAGTCATTTTAACCACTGGAGAAAATGTCTCGTGGTAATCAATTCCAGATTTCTAGTCTTTTGAGTACAACCTCTGATGACTAGTCTAGCTTTGCATCTTTCTAGAGTGCCATCAGATTTGAACTTGAGTTTGTAAACCCCCTTGCTACTGATTGGCTTCTTTCCTTTGGGCAGATCACAAGCTTTTTAAGTACCAATGGACTCTAGTGCCTGAAACTCCATTTCCATGGCATGAGCCCATGATGGATTAGCCTTGGCTTCCTCATAATTTCTTGGCTCCTTCATATTAGAAACAATGTGCAAAAGTTGTTGACTAGTTGGATTTAGAGCCCCTAATCATATACTATATATAGGAAGAAGGGGTGGAAGTGAGGGTGTGAGGACAAGGTTGAGTGGGGAATATGACAGTAGAACACTGAGGATGAGCGTTTCTATCGAAAATTTAATTCTTGACTTGATCCGATTCTGCTTCATCGACATCAATGATGAGCGTTTCTATCGAAAATTTAATTCAACAAATCAAATAGATCCGACCAATCCTCTTTACCTTCATCTTTCTCATCACCCTGAATATCGAAGAAATTTGAAGGAGATGGCTTCAGATCATGGCAAAAATCATTGAAAATAGCATTGTCTGCTAAGAATAAATTAGATTTTGTGAATGAAACCATCACAAAACGTAATGGAGATCCATTGAATACCTTGGCAGAGGTGTAACAATATTGTCACATCTTGGATATTGAATGTAGTGTGCAAGGAGATGGGTGATAGCCATAGTTGTTACGGCGGCTAGGCGAGGCTGGGCGAGGCTGGGCGCTAGAGCACCTTCCAATCGCCCGCCTAGGCGTCCGCTGGGCGAGTGGGCTATGGTGACCATAATAATTTTATAGGAACTAATGTCAAAACATATAGTATGAAAAATTAATTAAAATGAACACTGATACCAACTCTATGAAATAGAGTGTGTGTGTGTATATATATATATAGATATAGATATAGATATAGATATACATATACATATACATATATATATATATATACACATATAGATATACATCTACATATACATACACACACACACACACACACACACACACACATAAGCCTACTCCAATAAAGTGTGCTTTTAAAAGGCCCATTAAATTTTGGGCCTTATACTCGTGTGTAAAGGTCCAATAGTCTTTTGATGAATCCAGCCCAGTTATTTGACCTAGTCCACTAGTCTCAATGATAGAGAGATAGAAAGAGGCAATGGAGGTCGCAGATCTGGAAGCCGCACCATGACAAATAATCGGCGAGATAAGTCTTCTCTCCATCTCCTCATCCGTCTTCTCTCTATCTCCTCCTCCGTCTTCTCTCTTTATCTCGCGCGTTCTCCTCTGTCTTCTCTCTATCTCCTCCTCTGTCTTCTCTCTCTATCTCGCGCGTTCCATTGCGCTTCTAAAACAGAGACACGTCTCCGAGATGGAGACACAGTCACTGTACAACACAGTCGCCCAGGGAAAAAAAGCTAGGCAACCAATTTGGCGTCCACAAACCCTCGCCCAGATGCCTAAGCAGCGTCGCCTAGGTGACGCCTTGATAACTATGGTGATAGCGTGTAGTTGTAGAGTTGTGTAAAGAACTTGATGATAGGTTTGGTCAGTCCAATGGAGCATGATTGTATCAACTACAGAAGAACATTTATTCTATAACTCAAGGAAATGCAAATATAGTTGCGTACTACACTAAATTGAAACATTGTTGTGATTAATTAGGAATAATTTCCAACCTACCAATATGTAGCTGTGGTGTTGTTCAGAAACTCTTAAAATATAAGCAAGAACATAAGTTGATCCAATTTTTCATGGGACTTAATTAAGATTACAACACCATTAGAGGCAATATCCTAATCATGAAGCCTTTTCCTTCAGTCTTATCAGCCAATGGAATGCTGGTTCAAGAAGAGTAACAAAGAGAGATTCAAGCCTCATCTCATTTTATTCCTGAGCATGCATCTTTACAAAGAAAGACATAAAATAAAAAAATTGTGGTTTGTGTTCATTGCAAAAAAAGAGGGCACATAGCCAACAAATGCTACAGATTGGTAGGCTTTCATAAGGACTTAATTTCACAAGAGGAAAGATGATGGTAGTAAATATTCAACGTACAGATGAGTCTGATGTTTCGTCTTCAAGTGATACAGTAAATAATGAGACTCAATTCACTTAAAGAATGAGACTCAATTCACTCATTCTTTACTGTATCAGTTGAAGATAAATCATCAAAACTCATCCGGTATGTTGAACATTTGCTCCCATCTTCTTTCATCTTTTGAATTTGAAGTCCTTAGGAAAGCCTACCATAGCATTTTTTAGGTTGTGTGCCTTCCCTTTTGGCAATGATCACAAACCATAATTTTCTTGTTTTCGTGTACTCTTTGTAAGTAAATTGAGCTGCAACATTTAAGAATGAATAAAATGGGACGAGGCTTGAATCTCTCTTTGTTTCTCTTCTTGAATCAGCATTTCATAGGCTGATGAGATTTAAGGAAGAGGTTTCATGATGAGAATATTGCCTCTGGTGTGTTGTATTTTGAATTGAGTCTCATGAGAAATTGGATCAACTTATTATCTTGCTCAAATTTCAAGAGTTCTTGAACAACACCACAACTACATCTTGCTATATTCGAATCTATTCCCAATTTATCCCAACAGTGTTTCAATTTGGTGTAGTACGTAGCTCTATCTGCATTTCATTAAGTTATAGAACAAGTGTTCTTTTATAGTTGATACAATCGTGCTCCATTGGACTGGCCAAACCTATCATTAAGTTCTTTCCACAACTCTGCAACTATGTTGCGTAAAACATGTTATCACCAATCTCCTTGCTCAATATATTCAATATCCAAGATGTGACCATATTGTTACCCCTATGCCAAGCATTCAATCTGACAAGATCTCTATTAGGTTTTGCGATGGTTCCCATTACAAAGTCCAATTTATTCTTAGTAGATAAAGTTGTTTTCAATGATTTCTGTGATGTTTCGGAGCCATCTCATAAAAAATTTTTGATATCAACTATCAAGATCAATCTAGGGTGATCACACCGATGAAGGTAAGGAGGATCGGTTTGATTTGCTGAATTAGAATTTTTAGTAAAAACGCTCGTCATTGATGTCAATGAAGCAAAATCATATCAATTTGAGGAAGAGAAAACTTAAGAAATTGAGATCTAGATGCAGAACGCATCTAGGATGAAGATGATTGAATCAATCTGCTTTGATACTATGTTGATTTTTTCATAAATGCTTAACCATGAACAATGCAAGAGGAGGAAGAAAGGGAGCTGTAGATTTTATTTCTTGGTAAACACGATTATGACAAAAATTGATACAGGGAAAGAAGAAAGAACTGAATACAAAGGAAAAAGCTAATAGAAGCCACGTCATCTAATTAAGCCATAACCAACTAACAAAATTTCTAGCTAAGCTAATAAAGCTATTCCAACAGTCATCTCTGTGAAAGGGTAGATGAAACTGTAAACCATCTCTTCTGGATTGTGGTTAGGCTGAGCAGCTCAGAATGTGTGTTGCTCATTGGCTGCAAAGTAGTAATGGCTGCCATTGCCGTTTTATGGTATGCTACGTGTAACGCTAGGAATCTGAAATGCTTTCAGAATCATGGTGTGTGAGTCTAGGTGAAAGTCATTCAATAGACAACAGATGGGTATATGTTGTACTTGTTATGTGTATTTATTTATTCCGATTAGGCTCAGGTCACCCGTAAAAATCGGTCCGTAGTTGTGCACTACAAGGGTACCAAAAGGAGCAACACCCCAACCCAACCTCGCCACACTCCACTCACAAAGAAACGGAGAAGAACTGAGATGAACTCACAGAGGAAGAGAAATATCACACAAAGAACTCACAAAGAGAAAGAGACGGATGTTTTGCACGGTGAAGAAACACAAAGGCAGCCCCTCAATATATAGTGGAGATTGGGGTGGTAATTAAGGCAAGCTTAATTAGGTTAAGGAGTAAAAGTTGGGCTTGAGTAAATGGGCTGCTGGGTTGGGTGTCAAATATTATTAGTATGTTTGGGCCAACCCAAATAAATTAACAATCTCCACCTTTGGCCCAAAGTAGTGCACATAATTTGACAAGGAACCGCGGGACTCATCATAGCCTAATAACCACTAAATGTGTAATCAACAAATGAGAACACACCTAGTGGTGGAGAGTTCACTAAGTACTCTCAAGTCACGAAGACTAGGCAGCATCACAAAGCATGCCAAAAATAACTCACGAAGAGTCGAACTCTACCATTGGGTCATCGAGTTTAAAAACAAAAGAAAAGCAAAAAAAAGTCACAAAGACAAAAAAGAACAAAAGATCAATACACAATCATAGAGATAGGTTTAAAATCTTTTGCATAAGGTAAATTTTTCAACAGGTAAACACTTAGTACCCATGTCAGCTGGATTAGATTCCGTAGGAATTTTCTCCAGCATGACAATGCCCTTTTCAACTATGTCTCTAATAAAATGAAATCTAACATCAATATGTTTTGTTCTATCATGAAAAACAGGATTTTTGCATAGTTGAATGGCAGATTGACTATCAGAAAAACAACCACATTCTTATCAAGTAGGCATATTTCAGATAAAAGACCTTTAAGCCAAATGGCTTCTTTAAAAGCATCTGTGGCTGTAACATACTCAGCCTCAGTAGTAGATAAAGCAACAATGTGTTGAAGTTGAGGTTTCCAACTAATGCAAGAACCACACAAAGTGAACACGTAGGAAGTAGTGGATTTTCTATTATCCCTATCGTTTGCATAGTTAGAATCCACATAGCCAATTAATCTAACACTTTTATCACTTCTTGAAAAAGTTAAACAAACATTCCTAGTGGATTTTAAGTATCTCAAAAGCCATTTTAGAGCATTCCAATGAGCCATACCAGGATTAGACATGTATCTACTAAAACAACTAACAGCATAAGCAATATCAGGCCTAGTGCTAATCATAAGATACATCACAGAACCAATAGCATTCGAATAAGGCACACTTTTCATTTCATTAATTTCAGCTTTAGTTTTAGGGCACATATCCTTACTCAACACAAAGTGAGCAGCTAAAGGAACATCCACAGGTTTAGCATCAGACATAGCAAATTTACTCAAAATCTTATCAATGTAGGAATTTTGATTTAAAACAAGAGTAGATTTCTTTCTGTCCCTAACAATATTCATGCCAAGTATTTTTCTAGCATCTCCTAAATCTTTCATGTCAAAATTTTTGCAAAGATAATTTTGAACATGCTCAATAGATTTTAAGCTAGGACTAATGATTAGCATATCATCCACATAAAGGAGAAGAAAAACAGGAACAGAGAAAGTGTTCTTGAAGTACAGGCAGTGATCAACATTACTTCTCTTAAAACCAAATTTTTTCATGCAATTATCAAATTTAATGTTCCATTGCCTAGATGATTGTTTTAAACCATACAAAGCCTTTTTCAACAAGCACACATGATTAGGCAACTTAGGATCAACAAATCCTTCAGGTTGGTGCATATAAATGTTTTTATCAAGATCACCATGCAAGAAAGCAGTAGTAACATCCATTTGTTTTAATTCCCAATTATACTGAGCAACTAAAGACAACATGATTCTAATTGTGGTGAACTTCACAACAGGAGAAAAAATTTCTACATAATCTATTCCCTCCTTTTGAGTAAATCCCTTAGCCACAAGTCTAGCCTTAAACCTAACATTTTCAGGTTCTTGCTTAATTTTAAACAACCACTTACAGTCCACAAGAGAACAATTTTCAGGTTTTGGCACAAGTTTCCATGTTTGGTTAACACGAAGGGATTCCATCTCACATTTCATAGCACTAACCCATTTTTCAGAACATTTAGATTCTAATGCCTCACGATAAGTCTTAGGTTCATCACACTCAAGGAATTTAAAAACATGAAAAGCAAACTCAGACATATTACGGTCATCAACATATCTCGCAGGTTTGCTAATGGTTCTTCTATTTCTATCCCTAGCAAGTTGATAGTCATGCAAATCATTTTCAACATGTGATTCTACACTATCATGCTCCACCTCATTAGAAATAGTCTCATCTTCATTAGTGTGTGAATCATGGTTCATATCAACATGTTCATTAGTTTCTACATGCACATCAGTACGAATGATAACAGGCAATTGCTCCAGCTCATTTGGAGCCACATTTTCAACATTGGGAATAGGCAAGGACAAACAAGGAAAATTATTTTCATTGAAAACAACATTTCTACTTATCACAATTTCAAAACCTGGTTTACCTTTTACCCACAACCTATAACCTTTTACCCCGTCAGGATATCCCAAGAAAACACATAGTTTAGATCTTGGTTTGAGTTTATCATTCATTTGATGCACATAACCAGCACAACCAAACACACGCAGGTTTGATAAATCTAAGGGTTTACCCGAGAAAGCAACTTCTGGGCAATTCCCTCCTAAAGGTATAGATGGAGACCTATTGATCAAATAAGCAGCAGTGCAAACAGCTTCACCCCAAAATTTTTTAGAAAGTCCAGAAGTAGCTAACATAGCCCTCACCCTCTCTAAAATAGTTCTGTTCATCCTCTCAGCTACCCCATTTTGTTGAGGCGTGTAAGGAACAGTTTTGTGTCTTTTAATACCCCAAGTAACACACAAATTATCAAGTTGTTTGTTGCAAAATTCAAGGCCATTATCTGTCCTAAGTGTTTTTATTTTCTTTCCAGTTTAGTTCTCAATCAAAACTTTCCAGTTTTTAAATTTATCAAAAACATCAGATTTTTGTTTCAAAAGTAAGACCCAAACTTTCCTAGAATAATCATCAATTATGGAAAGAAAATATTGGTTCCCTCCGTGAGTGGAAACACTTGCGGGACCCCACACATCGGCATGCAAATATTCAAGCACATCAGAACACTTAGTTCAAGTAACAAGATTCAGGTTAGGAAAACTAACGCGGGTTTGTTTTCCAAGCACACAAGATTCACAGAAAGGAACATGCATAAGCTTATTACTACCCAAGTGTCCATTTTTATGCAATATTTCAAGTCCTTTATTTCTCATGTGACCCAACCGTTTATGCCATAGAACAGAATTATCAACCACAGAATTAGCAATAGGGGTGTAGTCATTAATATGTTTATCACCGGTTAATTTGATATCAGAAATCAGTTTGGTGAAAACATCTAGATTTTCTTCTATGTCTTTAGACATATCCAATCTAAACTTGAAAAATTTTTCAAGTAAGAAAATCTTGTTTGGCAAAGAAGTTTCAATATAAAGTTCATCAAGTTTATTCCAAAGATCTTTAGCACATTCCAAAATACCAACTTTTCTGATCACACAGTCAGTTAAGTTTAAGTAAATTATGAAACAAGCAATTTCATTCATTTCAACTTTTTTCTCTTTAGTGTATGTTTCTAGATATGAATCACTAACAGCCCTATAAACTTTTTGATGAACAAGAACACACTTCAATTTTTGTTTCCAAATACTAAAATCAGTTTTTCCATTAAAAGGAGTCAAAGCATACTGATTCATAGTAGACATATCCACAAAGGAGAAAAATAATAAAAAAATCACCACAAAGGGAAAAAAATCAAAAAATCATCACAAAAGAAAAAAAATCAAAAAATCACCACAAAGGAGAAAAAAAACCCACAAAAGAGAATAAAAAACTAAAAAAATCAGCAACACAGAGGCACGTAGAATTTGGCCTAAATTTTCCAAATTTGGCTCACGTGTGTGAAGCAATCGCACGAACAACCCAAGATTATTATGTTAGCAAAAAATTGCTTACTCAATCCCGTTGTTCTTTCACACGAGCACAAACTATAGTGGAATTAGGCAATCGGAAATAATGCAACGGAATTAAACAACCCCAAAAATTTGCTACGAAAGCAAAGGGATAAAGAGTTGTGTACCTGGGTGAATCTAATGCCTAGATTTGACTTACCAACTCCACGGAGGAATTCTGGCAGCAATTCAGTTCTGGCAGCGGGGATCAAAGCTAGCTCCTAGACGTCGGAGCTTCTGACTCCTTCAGCGGAATTCTGCAGGAATCGCCGGTTGCCGACTGCCTTCAATCGCACGAAACAATTGGTGTAACTAGGCTCCAACACTCGTCCCAGTTTTTTTTTCCCGCCGGAGAACAGCGCACTGGCAGAGGGACACTGTTGGGGAAGCACGGAACAAAACACAACAGAAGCGTATAAAATTTTTTCTCCAAATTAATGAGATGAACAACAAAGCACTATATACTCCAAAAATCAGAAGCAGCACCACAAATAAATAGCAACGGAAATAAAATAAAGAACACACGATTTACGTGGAAACCCCAAACCGGGGAGAAAACCACGGCCGCTCAACAACGGCTCCCAAACTTCCACTAATCACCAAGAATCAAGTGGGTACAACAAGTTCTCCTCTCTAGTAAACACTAGAGGCACACACAATCATCAAGGAACAACCTTGGAACAACAACAATCAACACTTTATCCAAAATGGAGTAAAAACCCCCAAAAATGCAGGTCTGGAAACGCAGCAAGAAAACCACCTTCCGGGCATCAAAACGAGAAACTGACCGTTGGATTTGAAGAGGGGTATGTGAGGAACAACATACTAAAATTTGAGCACGATCGGATTTCGTTTTGCCTTCGATCCGGAGGTGAAAAGTTGATGCTGCACAGAGTGGCGAAAATCTTCTTTTTCTCCTTTTTCCCTGCGTTTAGCTACTGCCACTCCTTTTTTTTCTCTTACGTAGCTACTGCCTTCACCCCTCAAGTTGCTGCCTTATCCTCTTTTTTTTCTCATTTATTTAGTATATGGGCCACCATAAAACATTTGGGCTAAAGCTTTACACACAAAAAATAAGCCCAAATATAAAAGAGAGATATAAAGTATTGTCCAATTAAAATTGAACACTTCCTCCATGTAGGAGGGAAATTTCCCAACAAATCTCCCCCTCACTCCTACATGGAGTGAGCAAACAAACTGGCCTTCTCTCGACAAAACACGAGTTTCTCCTTCGGCATAGTCTTGGTCAACATATCCGAGCAATTCTCACTTGTGTGAATCTTCACAAGTTCAAAAGACTTGTCCCCCACGGCTTCTCGAATCCAATGATACCTTCTCTTAATGTGTTTGGTTCGAGAATGAAACGCGGCATTCTTGGCAAGGTGGATGGCACTTTGAGAATCACAATGAAGAAGATAATTTTCTTGTTCCAAACCAAGCTCCTCAAGAAAATTCCTCATCCATAACAACTCCTTGCCTGCCTCAACAGCTGCTATATACTCTGCCTCAGTAGTGGACAAAGCAACACACTTTTGCAATCTTGATTGCCATGAAACTGCAGCTCCAGCAAATGTCATTAAGTATCCCGAGGTAGACTTTGCAGTATCAACATCTCCAGACATATCTGCATCTGTGTACCCATCTAGCACAGGCTGTCCAATACCAAAACATAAACAAACTTTGGAGGTACCTCTAAGATATCTGAGAATCCATTTCACGGCTGCCCAGTGCTCTTTACCCGGATTCGACATGTAGCGGCTAACAACCCCAACTGAATGTGCAATATCTGGCCTCGTACATACCATGGCATACATCAAACTATCCACGGCTGAAGCATAAGGCACCTTGTTCATCTCTTGCTTTTCTTTCTCACTTGTAGGGCAATGGTCCATACTCAACTTCATGTGGCCTGCAAGTGGAGAGCTCACGGGTTTAGCATTGCTCATGTTGAATCTACCAAGCACCTTCTCAATGTATCTCTCTTGGGATAGCCAAAGTTTCTTGTTCTTTTTATCCCGCGTGATCCTCATGGCTAAAATCTCTTTAGCAGGGCCTAAGTCCTTCATTGCAAAGGACTTACTCAATGACTTCTTCAAGTTAGCAATCTTCTTGGTGTACTGACCAACAATCAACATATCATCTACATATAAAAGAAGAATAAGAAAGTCACCTTCGGAGTAATTCTTCACAAAGACACAATGATCAGCGTGTGTTTTGTGGAAGCCATGATCAACCATAAAGGACTCAAACTTTTTATACCACTGCCGAGGTGCTTGCTTCAAATCATACAAACTTTTCTTCAAACGGCATACTAAGTTCTCCTTTCCCTTAACCTGAAAGCCCTTAGGTTGTTCCATGTAGATTTCCTTATCAAGGTCACCATGAAGAAATGTTGTCTTCACATCAAGTTGCTCAATCTCCAAATCCATGCTAGCAGCTAAGCCAAGTATAACTCGAATAGAGGTCATCTTAACAACTGGAGAAAATATCTCATCAAAATCTATGCCTTTCTTCTGACTGAAACCCTTCACAACCAATCTTGCCTTGTACCTTGGTTGTGAGCTACTCTCATCATACTTCAATCTGTATACCCACTTGTTCTTGAGTGCTCTCTGGCCTTTAGGCAACTCTACAAGCTCATATGTGTGGTTCTCATGCAAGGATGTCATCTCGTCTTGCATGGCATCGTACCACTTCTCGCGGTGCACATGTGACATAGCCTCATCATATGTCTCTGCTCTCCTCCATCCGTGACTAACACAAAATCATCATCCGAAAGTCTTGTGGAAGGTTTTCTGACTCTGGTGGATCTTCTCAACTGAGGTGGTGGTGACTCTGAATGTGGTTGTGACTCTGGAATATCACCACCACCATCATCATGATTATCATCATCATGATGGTCATACAGGAGACTCAACTGTATGATCATGCATATCTCCCCCATGATTTTGAGGGACTATAACAGGAGGAAGAGATGGAACTGGATCAACTGTGATGCATGGAGAAAGATTTGCCTGATCTTCAATAGTCTGATCTTCAAAGAAAACCACATCTCTGCTTCTGATCACTTTCCTATCACGTGGATCCCATAGTCTGTACCCAAACTCATCCTCTGAATACCCCAAAAATATGCACTCTTTAGTCTTCTTATCAAGCTTGGATCTCTCATCTCTGGGAATATGAACAAATGCTCTGCAACCAAAGACTCTCAAATGCTTATAGGAGACATCTTTCCCTGACCAAACTCTCTGGGGAACATCACCTTCAAGAGGAACTGAAGGGGAAAGGTTAATCAAGTACACGGCAGTGAACATTGCCTCCGCCCAAAAGGACTTTGGCAGCTTAGCATGAGATAGCATACACCTGATTCTCTCTTCAATTGTTCTGTTCATTCTTTCTGCAACTCCATTAAGCTGAGGTGTCTTTGGAACTGTCTTCTCAAGCTTGATGCCTTGACTTTTGCAATAGTTCTCAAATGGACCCCTGTACTCACCACCATTATCTGATCTGACACACTTGAGCTTTCTGCCACTTTCTCTTTCAACTCTGGCATGAAACTCCTTAAAAGCTTCAAGTACCTGATCTTTATGTTTCAAAACAAAAGCCCACACTTTTCTAGAAAAATCATCAATAAAAGTCACAAAATATTGTGCACCACGGTGTGATCTAGCATCCATAGAGCAAACATCAGTATGAACAAGATCTAATGCATGCTTTCTTCTATGTGGGGGACGAGTATGAAATGCAACTCTATGTTGTTTTCTAGCCAAACAATCAACACAAGAGTTTAAAGGCATACCTGAAATGTCGGGGAGATAATCTTTCCTGGAAAGGATCTGCATGCCCTTTTGACTCATGTGGCCAAGCCTCTTATGCCACAAATCACCGGAGGCATCATCTTCTACATTGGCATCTCCGCTACATACTCTGGCTTGCATAACATAAAGTGAATTCTGCTTCTTACCTCGAGCCATAATCAAACTGCCCCTAGAGAGTTTCCATCTTCCATCACAAAATTTGTTGGCATAACCTTCATCATCAAGCAAACCAGCTGAAATCAAACTCAATCTGATATCTGGGATGTGCCTCACATCCCTGAGCACCAACCTGCAACCAGTGGAAGTCTCTAAACAAACATCACCCATACCGATGATCTTAGACGAACCATCATTTCCCATCCTCACATGGCCAAAATCACCACTAGTATAGGATGAGAAGTACTCCCTGTGTGAAGTAATATGATAAGATGCACCAAAATCAATCACCCAGGTGCAGTCATCACAGGCTACATTTAATAGTCCATGATCACCGATAACAAACAAATCATCATCATTAGATGCCAAGGCTGTAGTGTTCTTCTCTTCTGGCTTCTGCTCGGAACTCTCATTTTTATCTTTTCTCTCCCTGGACATATCCCTCTTTTTCTTTCTGCAGAATCTCTCAATGTGACCCGGCTTCTGACAATAATGGCAAATGAAATCTCTCTTTCTGGATTTGGATCTCCCCCTGGACTTGTTTCTATAATGAGGATTTCTGCTCTTGCTTCTCCCCCTACTAGATTCTGGAATCACATTTGCTTCGGCTTGGCTAGGGTAACCTGATTCTTTCCTCCTAGCCTCTTCATTCAAAAGACTAGCCTTGACCATCTACATAGTCATCTTGCCATCCGGAGCAGAGTTGCTAAGTGAAACCACCAATGTATCCCAACTGCCGGGCAATGAGGAAAGCAACAACAAAGCTTGAAGTTCATCCTCCAATTTCATCTTCATTCCGGCTAGTTGGTTTACCACACCTTGAAATTCGTTCATGTGAACCACAATGCTATCACCATCTTTGTATTGCGATTTAACAAGCTTCCTAATCAAAGAAGCTTTTCCCATAGCATTGTTCCTCTCGTACATGGATTCAAGTTTCTTCCACATCTCAAAAGCATTAGTTTCATTAGCAACATGTTGCAACACACTTAAAGAAACATATTGTCCGATTGATGCAATAGCTTTCCGGTTCAAGGTAGTCCAAGCTTTCTCATCAACACCTGTTGGACGTTCTTTATACAAAATTGGGTCAATCAAATCTTTAGAGCATAAATAATCCTCAATACGAATTTTCTAAATTGAATAATTCGTAGAGTCCAAACTAACCATTCCTTGAAAAATTACTTTGTCATCCATCATAAAGAACACAAGAAGCCAACCCAAAAATAATCAAGCTCCAATACCACTTTGTTGGGGAAGCACGGAACAAAACACAACGGAAGCGTATAAAATCTTTTCCCTAAATTAATGAGATGAACAACAAACACTATATACTCCAAAAATCAAAAGCAGCACCACAAATAAATAGCAACGGAAATAAAATAAAGAACACACGATTTACGTGGAAACCCCAAATCGGGGAGAAAACCATGGCCGCTCAACAACGGCTCCTAAACTTCCACTAATTACCAAAAATCAAGTGGGTACAACAAGTTCTCCTCTCTAGTAAACACTAGAGGCACATACAATCATCAAGGAACAACCTTGGAACAACAACAATCAACAATTTATCCAAAATGGAGTAAAAACTCCCAAAAACGCAGGTCTGGAAACGCAGCAAGAAAACCACCTTCCGGGCATCAAAACGAGAAACTGACCGATGAATTTGAAGAGGGGTATGCGAGGAACAACATACTAAAATTTGAGCACGATCGGATTTCGTTTGGCCTTCTATCCGGAGGTGAAAAGTTGCTGCTGCACAGAGTGGCGAAAATCTTCTTTTTCTCTTTCTTCCCTGCGTTTAGCTACTGCCACTCCTTTTTTCCCCTCTTACGTAGCTATTGTCTTCACCCCTCAAGTTGCTGCCTTATCCTCTTTTTTTCTCTCATTTATTTAGTATATGGGCCACCATAAAACATTTGGGCTAAAGCTTTACACACAAAAAATAAGCCCAAATATAAAAGAGAGATATAAAGTATTGTCCAATTAAAATTGAACACTTCCTCCATGTGGGAGGGAAATTTCCCAACAGACACGAATAGTCCGAAGGGAAAAAAAAGACTAGAGGGGTTGACCAGAGGTTTAGTACCAAGAAACGAAAAAGAGTAGAAAGCACCCACTTTTTTTTGTATGAAAAGGGACTGACCGAAAGGAAAAAGAAGGAAAGAAAAAACTTCTGACACAATTGGTACTAAACCTTTCAAAACACCACAAAAGATTTATCCCTTTAGGGGTTGACCGAAGAAAAGAGAAAAAAAAACAAGGAACAGTAGATCCGAAAAGTGAAAAGAACACCCCCACGAAAAATAAATAAATACTGAACACAAACTAGACTCTGATACCACTGTTATGTGCATTTATTTATTCCGATTAGGCTCAAATCGGTCCGTAGTTATGCACTACAAGGGTACCAAAAGAAGCAACACCCCAACCCAACCTCGCCACACTCCAGTCACTCACAAAGAAACGGAGAAGAACTGAGATGAACTCACAGAGGAAGAGAAATATCACACAAAGAACTCACAAAGAGAAAGGGACGGATGTTTTGCACGGTGAAGAAACACAAAGGCAGCCCCTCAATATATAGTGGAGATTAGGGTGGTAATTAAGGCAAGCTTAATTAGGTTAAGGAGTAAAAGTTGGGCTTGAGTAAATGGGCTGCTGGGTTGGGTGTCAAATATTATTAATATGTTTGGGTCAACCCAAATAAATTAACAGTACTCCTAGATTGAGAGGTTACAGATGGATATATGATGTTTAGATTGCTGTTGTCTTTTAGTGGTTTTTTATTCTCTGTAAGGCTGGTGTCCCCTTACTCTTGTACTGTGTTTTTTCCTATAGGAGAATTGATAATGGCCTACCGGATATGAACTAGTTTTTGCAGGAAACCCTGCTGGAACACCTGATGTGGAGTTGCAGATTTGCTAAATGTGTGTATGAGGCTGTTTTTAGGGATATGAATATAGATATTTATGTTACACACTTTATGGATTTTGGAGAGGCTATTATAAAGATTAATAGTTGAAGATTACTTTTGTTACTTGGGCTTTGTGTTGTTATGGTATTTGGACCCCAAGGAATGGGGTTGAAGTGGCCTGTTAGTTCTGTACTTGCTAGAGAACATTGTTTTTGGTTGAGGTTTGGTGAACAAATAATGTGCTTTTGGTTTAAAAAAACATTGTAAGTGTTGTTTCTTACAAAAGGAATAATTGGGCGGGTTGTCCATCATAGATTTTTACCACTTGCATGGAGTAGCTAGTTTCGAGAAATTTGAATTGTCAATGCCACAATTTACATTCAGTTTGTTTCTCAATGCTTTTGGGCTTATGGGTAATTAGCTGTTCAAAATTTGACCCGACTTGAATACCAAATACTTAATTTTGACTAAAAAAAGTTTAACCCAAGATCTAAAGGTAGTGGAATCAGAAACAACCTGCTAAATAATGGGTCAAACTTAAATCCTACAAGTCCGTCCTTACATGTTGAAGTAAGATATTTTCAAATGATGCACTTACACTTAATACGTAGTTTTTTTTAAAGTAGATGCACTTTAACATTAAATATAAAGTTATAATGAGCTGACCCATATTTTCTTTTGTAATGATTTTTCAATACTCAGTTGGATTTGAACTGTGTTTATTGTTGTTTAGTCTTTGTGAACATATTTACTTTCATTTTCCCACCATTCAGGGGAAATGCTGTCATGCGCTCAGCTGCTAGAAAACATAGTAATGTCCAAGAGGTAGACATATCGATGTCTCTGGAAGTTGGGAGCGCAAGATTACAATCTCGGGCAAATATATCAAAGATGAAGTTGGTGATCAGAAGATCGCTGAGGGTATTTCGTATCCTTTCTGTGGTAGCCGCGTTTAATGTCCCGCTATACATGATGCTGCTGTTCAAAGACTGGATCGACAAATGATACGACGATGCTGGAACGAGTTGGCCAACTCTTTCTTGAGCAGAAAAAGTACGTGTAGATGAGGGAAGTTTGAACAATCTTCCTCGGTGAATGCACTTGTTGTCATTGTGATAGTTCTCATGGTTTAATTTGCAAGTGTCTGTAGTGACAATCCAACCAGAATTTTATGTAAAAAGGCCATAATGATTTCTTTAAGCCTTATTTATTTATGTACCCATGAAGGCATGCCACCACTCATCATGAATCCAATATGGTTAGGTCATCTCATCCTCATGCCTTATTTTCGGCCTAATGCTCTAATAGGGTAAATTCTTTAGTGGACCTTAGACTCTATGAACTTTAATACTACCTCCGTCCCACTGTCTTTGTCTACTTTTGACTTTTGGAATTGTTCATCTAAGCACTTTGACTCATCAAATTCTCTCAATGTGTAAGCCTAAATATAGTCATGTGTGATCTTGTTTGATTTGTCTTAACATATAGATTATTAATATATACTCCCTCCGTCCTAAAACTTTCTTCCCGTTGCGCAAAACGAAGAAAAATTCCAAATTTTTTCAATCTATTTTATTTAAATATTGGTATAGAAATTAAAAATAAAACATACATATTTAAAAACTACATCAAAAGTTCAACAAAACAAGTGGTGGCAAGAATATTTTATTTTATCATATATGCCATGAAAAAACACAAATAAATACAAATTCCCGTGAAGTTGGAATAGTGCTCTGGGAAGAAAGTTTTAGGACGGAGGGAGTAATTTCTATAATTTTTTAATATACAAATTACAAGATAGAATGGATTAAAGAAGTGCATTGGATGATGTGCTAAAAGGTAAGTGGACAAAGACAGTGAGACGGAGGGAGTATTTATATAAATTTTGTCGTATTGCGCTACGGAGACTTTTTCTTCCGTTGAAGATCTCCCACGCCGTAACGTTTCTCTCCCGCATTTATTTGTGAAGTTTATGTACTTACATTATGAAGTTATAGAGGTTTTTTTCAAAAAACGAAAACTCGGACAAAAGGAATGCCTATTTTGCATTCACATTTTCAATTAAAGAAACTAAGTTGCACCTCCTACATATTTACTAATTTATATTTGTCCAAACAAACTTATAAATGTTCAAATTCGACTCTTCTTTTTAATTACTCATATTTTAGAATCTTCGTCCCAATTTAAACTGTTTGATTACTATTCACAAAGTCAAACTTTAATTACTTTTTTTCAATTTTCCTCACTCATTCAATATAATATTATAATCATGTCACTTCTTCTTTTGTAGAACTTTTGATGTAGTTTTTAAATATATAAATTTTAATTTTAAATTATACCCCAATTTCCACATAATGTTATAAATTTTCGTTACTCATTCGATATAATATTATAGTCATGTAACATTAGTCTCAACTTTTAATTTGGTGTACTACAAGCATTATGCTTTAATTTATGAAAAGTCGTCATAATGTTTCATTCTTGTTGATAAAACAAGGTAATTCTTATGTGGTTCTAAGGTTCATGTTATTTATGGACTTTAGTGTATTGATATCGTAACATAATTAGGTCTTTTAGAAAAAAGAAAATATTAACTTGTCAACTAATGAAAAGTGTGAGAAGGTCTATATTTTTCATATGGACCTTAGGAGTTAGGATCACCGAAGAACAATTCTAAAAATTCCTTTCACCGGATGTTTATTTTATTGAAATTTGCTTTTGAGTAAAACAACGCATAGATCATTAGATACTCCCATGTCTCCTCCTAAAAAAGATACTCGGTCTTTAGGTAATATATATTGAACTAAGTTATATAATTGGTCTTTTATAATAGAAGTTTTTCATATTTAGTCTTATATTATCAAATATTACATCTGTGATCCATCTTTAATGGGTGCCTTTCTATGGAGTCTTTCTTTGACCTTCTATCATGTTGATGTTAATTTGGAAGCTAAAAATTTAATTTCACAATTATCATATATTTTTCTTGTCATATCTAATGCCAGAGATCACTGTTGTCATGTTGATGTTAATTTGAAGGTTAAAAATATAATTTCACAATGATCATATATCTTTTTTGTCATACCCAATGCAGAGATCGTTGTTGATGCGTCGTTTGTCAAAGGGAGTTGTTGTGTACTACAGCATAGTGTACAGATGTGGTCTCTGTTCAGAATCTGAGTGCACAATCATAGTCATTATTGTTGTGCATGATGTCCGTCAATCTGTTATCAGAATACGTCATTAGACATATGATCGATGTGAAATTGCACTTTTAGCTCTCGAATTAACGCTAACATGATAGAAGGTAAAAAAATCATCTGTGGAAAGTTGCCTATAAAAGAAGGACCACAGGAGTAAATTTTGATAATAGAGGACTAAATGTGAGAAACTCTCTCTGTTTTAAAGGATCAATTATAGATTTACTCTATATCATGGATTAATTATTATTGAATTTTTTTTAAAAAATGAATTTGATTAGTGGAGCTGTGGATGGGCATGAAGAAAAAAGAAGAATACTAGGAATGAATCACTTTTTTCTTAAATGAAATGAGATGTGGAGTATTTTTTAAGAACATCTAAAACGAAAATGTGACGTTTTTAGTCGAGGATGGATAATAAAGGATGAGCTCCATAATTGTCAAAATTGAATCATACCAGCAAAAAGTTATATGAGAGGAGATAAATTGAGTCGTAACCACGGACTCATGGACAAAAATAGAGTCCGCACATGGCACTTGCAAGGACGTATGCTTAATATACTTACCCCTCAGCATAATTCTAAAAAAATCGAATCCGAGTTTTTCTTCTTTGGCACTTTTTGAGGAGGGAGTATAGAGTTTAGAGTATAGAGAAAGAAGTACAAGAAATGGTCTTCGGTTGTTGAACTTTCTTTGTGGACTGCGGGCTACCGTTGAAAGTACGAAGCCGCCCTTAAGCCAAACTGTGTTGGCGACTGACTCTTCTTCAGATTGCGCGGCAACTTCCTCACTTGTCTTCCTCTGTTTAATCTTCCAAATAAATAAATCACTCATAGCCAAGTTTCCCAACAAGAATAAAAGCTCAAGACAACAATTCCCCCCAACTTCGTTATTCTTCCTTTGAAAATTCTCTTGGATTTTTGCCATTTAAGCTGCAAACGATGGCAGATCCGTCGGAGGCGGGCGGGATGCTGAACGACTCGACTATGCTCGCGATAACCGGGAAAGCGATGGTGGTGGCGGTCATCAGCCTCTTCTTCGCGGTCGTCTGCGTCTTCCTCTTCCATCTTTACACCAGATGGCTCCATAGCCGTCAGCGCGGCGGCGGCGGCCGAAGACCCACCACCGCAGGGCGTAGCCATCGGAGACAAGAAGAAGAGAGGCCAGCCCTCGGCCGGGGACTCGACCCGTCTGTGCTGAAGACAATTCCGGTGATCACATTCGGTGCCAAAGAGGTGAAAGAAGAAGTAGAATGCTCTGTGTGTCTCAGCTTGGTGTGTGAGGGTGAAAAGGGAAAGGTTTTGCCCCAATGCAGCCACTGGTTTCACGGGGATTGCATTGATATGTGGTTTCAATCCCATTCCACTTGTCCCCTGTGTCGGAATCCCGTTTCGGAGATCCCCGCGGAGGGGAAATCTCCGGTCACCGGTGGCAGTTTATTAGGGCCGTGTTTGCGGGAGCCTCCGAGAGGGCCTATATCCACTCAAATACCATGTTCTTCGTCATCGTCGTCAACGAGTAGTAGGCCAGAGGGAAGCTTGGTGATTGATATTCCCAGGGAGATTGTGGGAGAAGATGATGAACACAAATCATCTCCTATGGCTACAAGATTGAAGTCTTTTAGAAGGCTGCTAAGCATGGGGAAGAGGGCTGGCCCTAGCAGTCCCACTAGTCACTTAGATTTAGAACAGGGCATGAAAAGTCAAATCTAGGAGTTTAGGAGGATGTGACATACACAAGTACTTGTATTCTTTTGTTTACTCCGTATTAAAAAAAATCTAATAAAAGAAAATTTTCTAATTACATTTAAAGTTGTTTCTTATTTTAATCTAATGAAAATAAATAATACTCTACAAGTGATAAGAATAAGCTAAAGAGAACAAACTTGTAGTCAAGTTGATCCATGTATGAAAGTTGTTTTGGTTTTGTACATTTACCTCAAAACCATGTGGCCATGTATAACAAGTTGTTTCGGATTTGCTTCAAACCTGAGTATTTCCAGGTCAAATTAAACGGGTAAAAGAAGAGTTGAGTGAAAAAAGTAAAAGAAAACTACTACGGAGTAGTATAATATTATAGCCATGTCCATCAGAATATTAGCAAAAGACTTGTACAGCCCACACCAGGCCATGATGAATGTGGCCAAAACACAAGGACCCCACACAAACCATATGGACATAATAGTTCAAAGAAAGTACTCAAAAGAGACTCGAAAATTGTCAGAGAACAATGGGCATCATGAAAACTGCAGGAGAGGCAAAGTCATCACAGCAGCAAAAACAGAGACCACCAGTACCAGCAACCAAGTTGGGAAAGCAAGTCTCCTTCGGTGTCTCATTTCTTGTTGAAGCTCCTGCCCTGCATTCAGATCTCTTCCATTAGATTCCTCCGGGACCCTGGTACTTTCTTCATGGGACACCTGATCCAAGCCAGACTCCAATGCAAGTTGCTGTTGATGCTTCTCTACATATTCTGGAAATAACTTCCTAAAAGTCAAGCTGCGTAAAAGAAAAGAATTGAAAATCGAAGGACCGAATGCAGATCAATTAAAAAAAATTATTAATATCATATACAAATGCCAAGATATGTATCAAATGGAATGAGGCGCACTTTTTACAGTTGAAAGCAAGAGAAGCTTTAGCAAGTTGTACTTTCTCGGCAGTAGTTGTAGTTACCGCTCCAGTGGTGTGAGTATTATCCATCTGGGACAAAATAATAAAAGAGACGGCTAATAAGAAAAAACCTGTGAGGGGGTGTTGGTTTTATTCTGCCTAAATACATTAAAAATATACACACAGAAGTATAACAATATTTTGTGTGTGTGTGTGTGTAATGATCACTGAAATTTTTGAAAACTTTGAAGGCCATGAGTGGTCAAGTCAAACTAAGATTGGGTAGGCCTTTCTCACATCTCTCTCTCCTCTGTATATAAAACAGAGTAATTTGATTACTTTCTATTTTGTCAATATCAACTTTGGGTCACCAATAAATGTGCTTTTATTGAACCATGTGTAAGAAAATCAAAGTTGTTCTTCAAACTTCAGTGACAAATAAAAGTAAACTTACCATAAATGAGAGAAGTCCTGTGAGGATGCTGCAAGAACAATAAACAGAATCATCAACAAAGAAAAATGCACTAAAAAACAAACAGAAGTTGGCTGCTGCAATGAATGGAAACTAAAATTTTATATCAAATAATAACATAGTTTGATCCTTACCTTGAGACTGACCACATAGGGTTCCAACTCTCTGGATGGACTGACAAGTATCACAATCCCACAAAAGTGAGCATTATAAAGACATAATCACGATAATTAACAAATCAAAGTAACTTAAAACAGCTTACAGTCACTCATAGAGAGGCATAATTTTGAATCTGTTAAGAATCGTCCATTTGGAGTGGTCATCCTTCAAGGGAGGAAAGCAATACTAGTCAGTCAAGTTTGAAAACGATAAATCTAGTAGCAATACACGAGTTCAATAAAGCAACATTTTTTAATATTCTTAGGTGATGATCAAAGCTCTGATTACCTGATCCCTGGAGGTTTGTACGGATATTCAGGAGGAAACTTGATCCTCCCATAATAATACCCACCTAGCAGTGATTAACATTTTATGGAGAACAGGGCAAAACAATAGTTCAAAAGTTAGGCAAAAACATTAAGCAGAAAGTTGGTTTAAGATGATTTCAGTTTGAAAGTAGTATTAGTTCACCCAACAAAAGAACCCCACGAACCTGCAAACGGTGTTCCTTCACTCCCTTCCAGCACATAATCTGTTAGTCGGGAATTTTTAATTGAAAAATCACATAAAATATACTCCCTCCGTCCTATAATGATCTTCTCAGAGCACTATTCACACTTCACGGGAATTTATATTTATTTGTGTTTTTTCATGGCCTATATGATAAAATAAAATATTCTTGTCACCACTTGTTTTGTTGAACTTTTGGTGTAGTTTTTAAATATGTATGTTTTATTTTTTATTTGTATACCAATATTTAAATAAAATAGATTGAAAAAACTTGGGATTTTTCTTCGTTTTGCGAACCGGGAAGATCATTATAGGACGGAGGGAGTAATGTGCCAGATTATGAACGAAAGATTAAAATGTATCCGAAAAATACCTAAAAGGTATTACAGTATAAAGCGCCAGAACAATAGAGAAGGAAAAATGAGCAAAATCAGTAACTTACGCCACTCAAGAATGTTATTTGGAGAAGGACGGGCAACAATATTTGAAACAGGTTCCTGCAAAATTTATAACACACCCCAAATTTTCAATCAGACTTCCAACCCTATTTTGAATAACTTAAAGATTGATTCTGGTTTCCATTTCCAGACAGAGAATGCAGAACTATGTCTAGTACAGTTTACTGTATACAGCCTAAAAGCCACAGCAAAATAATAACTGCATTGATTTCCAAAATCTGAAACATAAAATCCAATAACAAAATACTCCACATTAACATCTTAACAAACTTAAGCAACTGGATATACATAGTATTAATTAGTGTTGAAGGAATCACTAAGGGGTCCCAAGCTTACTGGTGGAATATCAACACATAGAAATAGGCAGTCTAGTTTACTTCCACCTGGCACACTTGACTATCCACCTAGCCTGGGGATTATAACAGCATTGCATCCGAAGATAACCAACTGGTTATCTTACAGCAATGATATTAACAGTTAATTTCATGTGACTATATCAAAAGAAACAAGTCAAACGACAATACTTGAATTGAAACTTCAACACTGATCTATTATATTTCCAAGAGAATAGATATAATTAATTGTTCCCTCACAAATGAAGTATAAAAATTTTAGAAGTTAAAGACATCTTCTTACTTTACAGAGTGCTCTGTACTCCTTCTGCAAGCGTTTCACACATGCTTTTTCTGCCATTGCTGGCTTTGAAATGAGATAAAGTAAAGCTGTACCACCCGTACATATATAAAGAATAAACATGGAAAATTGAGAATTAAGACAAGTCTATACCTAAAAAAGAAACAGCATTAGTAATTGAAATGACATATCTTAGAAAGAAACATTATGTATACTGTATGATATAAGGCAGAAACAATGCTAAATTTATGGCACAAATAAATGTACTCTTAACTAACTATGAATCCCATTTACTTGGAACCAGGGTCGAGTACCTCGGATATACCAGCCCCAACACCACCCAATTAGGTGCAACTTTGCAATAACTACACACACAACTTTTATCAGCTTAAAAGTAACCAAGAACAAGCCAGAATTGTTGTCTCCCAAACTGCACACCACCTCTGCTACAGATGAGACATCTAAATGAGGGTACCCATCAATCTCGGGTTCAACAGAATACTGACTAGAAATCAGAGAGTAAAAGAAAACAGTATCGAACACTGCCAAATTTCTACAATAAGATATCTCAGCGAAAGGAAAAAAGAAAAGCCATCCTCAATACAAGCCCACAAGTTTACTCAAAATAATCTATTGAAACAAAATTTCATACAATTTCTCAACGACGCAATGGAAATCATAAGATAAGATAAGAAATCTTTATTAAAAGGAATAATAATTACGATAATATACTTGCAAACTCTTACTACAGAACATGAAGGATTTCAAATGTCGAATCCAAAGAAAACTGAATCAAAATCGCAGTTATAACAGAAATTAGAGAAGCAAAAAGCACAAATATAAATTATTCAGAGGCATACAAATTAAAACACTGATCGAAACACTGGGGAAGAGAGCAAGACAATTTCTCCTTTCCAGAACTACGACGGATTCTCCCAAATGCGAATGGAAAGACAATCAAAGCGCAAAGTTCCTGGTCGCAGTGGATACTGGGCACTTGAGGTTAGGGCAGTGGCGGATAGTTTGGTAGATGGGGGATATGGGCAGAGCCCTTGATTTTTTTATTAAAAAAAGACCATTTAAAATGACAAAAATAATAAATTTTATTTTAAACATTTATTGAAGATAAAATTTTATTTAATAAGTAATGTAAAATTTTATTTTAAAAAATAAATTAAATGCAATAAAATACACTTTACTTCAATAAGATTAAACAAAAAATTAAAAGTTAGCTTAATTAAATAAGGTTCCATTCATTTTTTTAGGGAGTAAGAAATGTGAGATGAGGTCAATCCCAATTTTAGATGGGGGCATGCAGCCTAAAATATAATAATTTTTTGTTTTTAAAAAAAATTACTCCTTCCGTCCGAAAATATTCTTTCCACTTTCCTTTTTGCCTCGTCCGGAAATATTCTTCCTATTTCCTTTTTTAGTATATTTTTTAAGGATAAATTTCAATGATACCCTTATATTTTATCACTAATCTACTTTTTTATTGCTTTTTTAATAAGAAAAAGAAATTTAAAAGTTTATAGTATGTGCATTTTTGGAAATTTGTCATTTTTTAAACTATTTCTTAATAAGCGTGCCAAGTCAACTTGGGAAAAATATTTTCGGACGGAGGGAGTATTAGTTTAACACCAAAATTTAGTTGGGGGCATTTGCCCCCAATTGTTTGGGAGTAGATCCACCCCTGGGCCGGGTTAGGGTAGGGTGGGTTTCGTTGGAGGAAGAAAAAGGGGTATTTGGTTCATTTGACAACTGGTCGGCTTCGGGTAGGATCTTGAATTTGACCAAACTTTTAAAACCAAAATCCAAACAGACCCAAACCCAAACCCAACCCAAACCAGATATTTAAACCCAAAATCCAAACTTGAACCTGAACCCGAATATGTAATTTAAGCAATAACTAGTTCGACGTACCCCAAAAATTTTAAAAAGAATAAATGTAAATTTTTTTGTGTCTCTTTTTTGTATCTCATTTTTGATTGAGAAATTATAAAAATGATTATAAAGGGCATATTTGGTATGATATCACCTTGTCAAGATGTTGAGTGACTAGAAATACGAAAAAGACAATAAACAGATCAGAGATGCAAAGAAGGAATAACCATACAAGAATGGAAAACACACAAAAATGCGATGTAAAAACCAAGAGAGAGATTGCACCACAGAATTGAAAGAAAAGAGATTATACTGAGTGCTGATTATATCTCTAGATAGAGTTTTATGTTATAAATATTTGGGTTCGATTCGGGTCAGGTTGGGTTCGGGTCAGGTAAAATTATAAATCCACACTCGATCCGACCCGATGTTGGGTCCAAATTATTTTATTTCTAGTTTGGGTTAGGATATTTTAGTGTTGGGTCGGGTCGGTTATGATCGTGTTCGGGTTGAATTGACATCCCTAGGTTCAACAGTTTTGGATAAACTTGACAAAAAATGACTCAATGTGTCTTTGACTCAAAACTCGACCCGAAAACATTGAGTTTTGAACAAAGATTTTGTTGATCAAACTCGAAATAGTCCGCTAAAAGTGAGTCAAATCCAACCGATCCCGACCTTGTAAATAGTAAATGAACAATTTAAATGGATGGGAAAAGTAGCAAAAAATAAAAAATTCTTACAGAGTACTTGGAAACAAGTCAACCAATACTTAACAAATTACTCCAAAATAATTAAAGCATTAAATAGCTTCAAAAAAGGCATGATAGATAAATCTTTTAATGGTATGTTTAGGAACACGGATTTGGATTTCAAATCCGGATTTGGCTCAAATTTCATGTTTGGGAAACTTACAAATTTTTAATTTGGATTTGAATCAAATTCTTCTCATTCATAACAAAGCTTAATTTTAAATCCATGCGCCTCCCCTTTTCATTTGAAATTCAAGATTTCAAATTTTGGAATTGAAATGAAATTCAGTTGTCAAACACTACCTAAATGAATTTGAGGGGGTTACACGAAAGGGCAGGGATGGAGGAACCGATGATGGTTTCTACTTTTTAAAAGGAAAACGGTGCGAACGCTGTTTAGAAAAAAAGAAAAAAAAATAGAAACTTCAATCCTCAAGAACGTCCGCAGGGGGCACAACATACCATCGCCGGATAAGGGCCCTTCGCCCGATTTTCGCTGGGGTGGGGCACGTTCCCTAGCTAGCATGCCCCCTTCCTCCGCCCCTGGGGGTGTGCCAATATTCCAGGCATTCTTTTCCTTTCCTGCTTAAGACAATGGCTCTTGAAAATGGTGAGGATAACATATGTTACATGCTTTAATGATTTTTGAACGTTTGACATGTTAGTCCAAGTGGTGTAATCGGGATATTCTTAGAAAGAATCACTTATTATGTAAAAGTGAAGTGTGGTCGCTTCAAATAGAAGATTTAGAGCTTGATTATCTAAACACTCTCGCAGTCGCAAACCCAGGCATGTGTCCTAGGACCAAAATGGGAACAACCATGATACGAAATGATGTTTAGTTAAAACCCATGTATGGTATACTATCATTTACACAAACAAGATTACACGTACTTCAAAAACATTATGTACTACTTAATAGCTAGTAAAGAATGTATCCCTTACAAAAAAACAAGTTCAAAGGTGGAGACACCTAGCTCTCCTTTGTATGCTTTCAAGCGAGGGACATTGTCAACCCCTAAATCTATGTTTTCATTAATGTGGGGGATTGTTAGATTTTTTTGTACTTCCTCTATCTTAATTTAAACCATTTGCTTTAGTTTATGATATTTTATTAAAGTTATTTTCAATATAATTCATTTGAGAATTAATTAGAACAAAATAGTATAATAAAATTTACATATTTCAAAATTTATATAAAACTATATCAAAATCTCTACGAAACAGGAGGTGATATGAATATACTATTTTATCAAATGAATAACAAAAATAAGAAAAGAATAAATAAAATCAACTCTTTGAATTGTTACATGCAATTTAATTTGAAACGAAAGGAGAATTAAGTAAGCATTAAGTGGCCGTCAAGTGTTTAAAAGAAAAAATATGTATACTTGAAATTTGTGTAAAAGAGATGGGAAAAAGATTAAAGTAAGGGTAAAACATAGAATATATACTAAAATAGGACTTTCATGTTTTTATTTTTAAAAATATAAGTTAAAATGCATATACAATGTCAATCATGCAATAAATAATACCAAAAAGTATTCCAAAATGTTTATATACAGACAATACAGTGCCACATTATCACAATGCATAATCCTATTTTGAGGACAAAATAGGTGTAAAGCATTTTTGAAAAAATTACTCCCTCCGTCCCACTCTTTTTGTCCACTTACCTTTTGGCACACCATCCAATGCACTTCTTTAATCCATTTTATCTTGTAATTTGTATATTAAAAAATTATAGAAATTATATATTCATAATCTATATGTTAAGACAAATCAAACAAGATCACACATAACTATATTTAGGCTTACACAGTTACTCATTGAGAGAATTTGATGAGTCAAAGTGCTTAGATGAACAGTTTCAAAAGCAAAAGTGGACAAAGAGAGTGGGACGGAGGTAGTAAATAAAAATGTGATTTTTTGTGACGGAAGTACATATTAGACTACCTGTAATGCCTCATAGCACCATACCGGTGATCCTAGTTGGCATGCCGAAGTGGAATGGGTGATCATGCCTACACCATCCCTACCCCTCTCGTTACTCTCTCAGGTGAAGCAAGGAGTGAGAACAACCACGCCAATAATTGTTGTAGTGAATTGTCTATTTTGCTCATCCTTTATCCTTTATATATAAAATTTGAGAGTTTAACTCTCAGAATTGCGACATTTGGCGTGATGACTGGAATATTTTTTGACACCTAATCAGCCATGTCATTAAAGGTACGGGTATGAGCTGGATAGCTGGGTACGAGCTCACCCACACAATCAGTAGATCTATCCTCATCGCATCATCATCGCCACTCCTATGGGGATTGATATCATCATTCGAAATTTCAGGGATCTGGCTGCCTCTCGAGACTTCATCACCCACTGCCTGCGAAATTTCAGGTAAATTATACGATATGAGCTCACCCACACAATCAGCGGATCTATCATCATCGCATCATCATTGCCGCTCCTATGGGGATCTAGAGATATCATCGTTCAAAATTTCAAGGATCTGGCTGCCTCTCGAGATTTCATCACCCACTGCCTGTGAATTTTAAGGAAAATTATACGATAGGGAGAAGATGACAAATACGGTAAGTTTCATTCGCAGACGAAACGGAGACTAGCGAAATTTCTTTGAAATTATTGGTTACGGAGATGTGTTTTCCTTAGCTGACTTTCTTTCCTTTCCTGGCGAGTTTAACGGAATTCCAGCCTTCAAAATCAACCTCTTGCCCAAGGACGGTAAGTTTCCTTATTTTTTTAACATTGAGATTCTTCGTGTGACTACTCTGATTACTTTATAAATTTCTTCGTCCGAATGGTCTGATCCCTCTTTGAATTCTTCGTTTGAATGGTATGATAATTTCTTCGTGTGAAATCTGTTTCCTCTATAAATTCTTCGCTTGAGGTCATCTATAAATCAATTTCTATTCTTGGTTTGTAAGACGTCTCATTCCTAATATCTTTGAGCAATTAACATGTCTTCCAAACCCATTCATCCTTTGTTGAAAATCAATCCAACAAGTGAATGATGGAGAGTTTTAGTTCGTGTGATTCGACTCTACAAGATGCCGGTGTACAATGATGACAAAGTCACTAATTCGATTGAGATGGTATTCATGGACGAACATGTAAGAATTTTATTCTTATACGATTTTTGCACACATTTTATGAATTGATGATGTGTTTTTTTATGAATAGAGTGTTAAACCATTCTAAAATTAACAAAGAATATTCGATTTATAATCTCTGTTTTCTTTATAATGTGTACTACTCCCCCCATCCCATAATTTTGTTCTCTGTTTGAATTTGTCTGCTTTTCAATAAAGTCAAAATTGTGTAATTGACATCTATTGAAAAGGGAGAGAAGTAATATTAACCATATAATATATCCCTAAAAAGACAATGGTAATGTAACGCCACAAAATATGGCCTAAAATTTATTATAAAACAAAAGTAAATTCTGTCCGATAAGGAATATTTATACATTTGACCAAAAATAAATGGACTTTCAAAATAATTACTTTTTGTTAAAAACTTACTTTTATGGATATGTCTCGAAGAGACGAATCCAACGGTACATTTTAAGAACCAATCTGATTTATAGATTTCAAGTTATGTCAATTTTAAATATTAAAATTTGTAACTTTGACCCATAAATTAAACTCAATTCAAAAGTGATTTCATAAGATTAGAAATCTTAACCTTTGACACTTGACAACATCATATTCATGATTTGGATTAAATTCCTATATAAAGTTGTAGTCCCGGACGATACGAATCCAGCCCAACAAACGGCTCGCGATTTCGTTAAGTAACGAAGAAGATATGGCCAAAATACCGGGACTGCGCCAGTGGTGGCGAGCTCCTCGGGTTGGCATGTGTTTCTTCACCAAATTCATATTATTTCATTCCAAATACTTACCATAAACTCTCTAACAATTATTAGGAACATCCGGAAGGTATCGTAGAGAAGGTTCGGCATTGGAATGTTGAAGTTAGTGAGTTAATCGTCGGAATCGTGTTCATCGACATATTCAAAATTCTGGACAGCAACTTTCCCTTGACTTCAGGTCCGATTTACTCTATCTTACATATGTTAAATCGAAATATTTTCTATACGAAAGTTATAGCCTTACATCTTAGGAATCCACAGAATCAAACGGTTTACACATCCGTGAAGAAGCGATGGAGATATGCCCAAAATACCGCACGCTGTCCAGTTGTGACGGAAATGACAAAGTTGGTGAATTTCGATGTTGTTTCCACTCCCGCTCATCCGTAAGGTTTTGGGCTATGATTTCCAGGTCTGTACCCTTGCGTTAGACTTGTCGAATCATTCATCACATACGTACATGAACATATCTATTAATCCATATGTTGAAACCATCCCAAAATATATATGTGATGCATATATAAGTCATCTATATGTTGAGATCAAAATTCACCAAATCCATAAAGTTAATATACACATAAGTAAATATAAACTTTGGAAATTAACCCAACAATATGTATACATTAATAAAAGGTGTTTAAAAGACTTAAAGAAGTATTTTGGACACTCAAAATATCAAGAGAAAGATTCGCAGACCCAAACGGTTGACACAAACGGTCGACCGTCATATTAAACTTTGAAACGGACCACTACTGTCAGCAGAACGGTCGACCGTCGCCAGCCCAGCAGAACGCCGCCGTTCCAACAAGTCAAAAAGGGTTGACTGCCGGTCAACCACGGTCGACCGTCACGGTGATCCAGAAATCCAACGAGTTGAAATATAGCACGGTCGACCGCCGTGCTAAACGGTCCACCGTTCCGAGCCCCGTAGCTTAATTAAATGATATTTTTATCAGATTTCACCCAAATAAAATAAAGTATATTTATCCATTCATATTGTTTACAAATTGTTCATATCATATGACTCATATCATCACACATATTGTAGCATATCGTATCATATGCATGCGTAAGAGATCATGCGTAATTGCATCTCTTATAGCGTGATGTGCGGGACTTAGCAGTCCGACATCACCCGTTCCAGGCTTAGTGTACGTACATGGTATTCAGGTTTCGAGTACCACCCCTATTTTTCTAGTCTTACCTCATTCGTGAGACTAAGGCCGCGTGAGTTCGTCTTACCAAATGGGCGAATCTCATAGCGCAAGGGTGTCCTTGCAAGTTATAGGATCATGCATCATGTTACCATCATCAAGTACAATTACATTGATTACATAGGTGTCATGTGATCATCATCAAGAAAAAGTATATTGATTACATAGGTATCATGTAATCATCCTCATAAGCAAATTGATTAAATGTGCCATCATGTAATTATCATTAAATATTTATCATCATGAATCATCAAATTGACCATATGATATAATGTGCCATATCATGAATATTATTATTATACATTTGTGGATGTATATATATGTTTATGTGTATGTCTGTGAATCATTCTACAATTCTAGCGTGGTACCACTCAGCGGTTTCGCTGAGCGTGTAGTTTGTATTTTTCGTTGACTACACGTAGGTAACAAGAAGACAAATATGGAACCTTTCCCGGAGGGCATTGAGTCAGAGGAGATGCAAGGATGGCAGACAAATATTTGATCATCAGATTTTAAAATGTGTCATGATTTGATTATTATTGTACTTCCGCATTACTCTGAAAATATTTTTAAATGGGTCGTGATCCAGAGTCTGTAAATTTTATATTTATAAGTAATTGTCATTTTCGAATGTCAAGCGAAATTTTTATTTAACTCTCGCTTCACCTTAATTCGTGTAATTCCGGGTTATACGGATTGGGGTGTTACAGGTAAGAAATATGGAATGTGCTTTAGTAATTTTTATTCGAATTTTCTGTTTTCTGTTGCCCCTAGAAGTTTAATGATTTAGGATTTGGTTTTGGCAGTAGCTTCAAGGTAGTCTTTTGTGTGCGGTGTGTGTGTGTGTGTTTTTGTCATCCCCATGAACTTTAGTGCTACCTTACACTATAAAAATTATGCTACTATGACATTGAATTGTTCAAATTTATAATCTCGGTTGTCCTTGATTTCATATTTATATTCCTTGCTGGCTATACTCTGTTGTCCCTATGAACCGTGTTATATTCTTTGTTGTTCAGATTTATAATCTCAGTTGTCCCTATAGTCTAATTCTCTAAATAGATCCTCAAACTTTATTGATAATGATTATGTTTTACTTTGATGTAGAACTATCGAGACTTTGAAGGATTGCAGTGAGGTTAGTTATACTTATTTCCACATATGTTTCTTGACAACAGCTAACTATAGTTGTAATCAATGATTGATGTATTTTAACACACGATGGAGAATATGCTGTATATGGTACCATCAAGGGTGTGGATGGTGGAGGAGATTGGTTCATACCGGCATGTAGGTGTGGGTCAGAAGTGATTCCACGCAATGGCTCATACTTGTAACACCCCAAAATATACCCTAGAGTTATTAATGAATAATTATTCAAGTAATCAAATTATTTTGATTAATAATAATAATAATAATAATAATAATAATAATAATAATAATAATAATAATAATAATAATAATAATAATAATAATAATAATAATAATAATTGTTATTGGGCTTTGGGCCGAAATGAAATATGTTTTAATATTCAATATCAAAATCTGGATAAGTCTCATAGAGATAAATCCAATATGTTGACTTATTGTGTGACCTTACTTGGGAACCTGAGTACAGACCCAAATCAAGGATAAATGAAGAAATTTGTTTATGATATGAACTTTGAAATGATTTATTGAAGTAAATCATGAGAAGAAATAATATGAATGAAATGTAAAAACCTTTCTCAGTAAAGGTCAACAAAATCAATTTTTACTCTGTCAAAGTCAACCACCTAAAAATATGATGTCGGAAAAAGTAGAACGAATAAATATAGAAATTATATCGTTGGATAGAGTTTAATTGTACAATCGCAACGGTGCAAATGGATTTCAATTCGAAGAAAGTTGGACCAAAAAGTGTTCCCCGAGGGGACCAAATTAGTCCCAATCAGGGACTTGCGTTTGGAATCGTGGATATCGCAGCCCACTCCACTAGCCGCTCTAACAGAGAAGGTGACACAGTGAATTTCATCTTCTTCCTCCAAACTCTCATATATAAGAGGAACAATTCTCCTCCATTTCTTCACCATTTTCCTTCAAATAAACTCTGAGAGAAAGCTGTGAGTGTGGAGAATGAAGTTGTGCTATCAGTTTGGTGTGAAGTCGCCGGAGCAAGCTATAATCCTCGCTGGAAGTTTCGCCGGAAATTTTCTAAAACCTCCATTAAGCTTCGAGGTAAGCCCGTAGATATATCTAGTGACTAGAATGTTCATATATATCGTTTCTACGTTCATAAACGCTCGTTTGGTTGAGTTTCGTGTTTGACATGCTTGAAGAACCAAGAATCATAAACCATGAAATTGATGTTAAAACCATGAACTAATGATGCCAAAATTATCTATGAACCTTAGAGAACATCTCTATATAGTTTCGTTGAAGTTCGGTGACTAAAAGTGGAATTTACGAAAAATGGTTCGAAGGTTGAAGAAGATGAACAGTGGCTGAAAAACCACTGTCTGGATCGATCATCTTGCCTGGATCGATCCTCTGGGAGTTTTTATTCTAGTGTGGATCGATCCAGAGGGCTGGATCGATCCCCCGAATTTCTGATCCGAAAATTTGTCCGAAAATGTTATTTTTGACCTCTAAAATCCTATTTTTGATACCAATTGATTATGATCATTATAAAAATGTTTTTCACGGTAAGTTTGGGTGTTAACACCCGAAGCTAGGCCGCTAATTATTATTTAATATTATGTTGATTGATGATTATGGTAATGATTATTGATTGATAATTATGATGATTAAATTTTAATAAATATTCTGATTAAAAATGATAATTGTGAATGATTAAATCATAATGAATATATTGATGATTGTGAAAATAATATATTGTTAAGGGTATCTAGAAAACCTCTAAGATATACCCATATTAATGTTGATTTGAAAGGTATCTAGAAGACCTCTAAGATATACCTATTTAAGTTAGGCCTTGCGGGTATGAACCCCGGTGGCTAGGATTAAAACGTACGTACGGGATCCAAGAACCAAACTTGAGTACCTACTCGTTTGGGGGTACCACCCACCCAACACTGAAAACTACGCTGTCGGTTTTTGGTTGGCCTTAAGTGAAGGTAAGTTTAAGATTTTCAAAACCCTTTTATCTTAAACTAGGCCCAGCTTAAGGATTATTTAGAAATATTTTATACTGGAATATAGTTTAATTATTTAAACTAGAATTCGTGTAAGGGTTGACAAATATTAAAGTGATTGGTCTTAGACTAAGAATAGTTTAATGATATTTTTGAATGTTGAATATTGAATATTGAATATGAATAAATATTGAATGGTGAATATTGAATTGAATATTGCAATTATTATGAATGACTGATGAACATTGAATGTGAATATAAATGTTGAATAATGAATAATTTTTAATAATTATTGATTATATGAACTGAATATTATGTGAATGATATCAAATGATTTGATTATGAATTTAGATTCAGTTTATATGGATGTTCGATGCATTAGATATGCTTACTCAGCTTCAACGCTGAGCGTGTAGTATGTTTTATTTGCTACACGCAGGTTATTAGAAAGAATGAAGTAACGTGGTCCTGGAGGCAGACGAAGGGGAGATTGTCGGAATGGATGTGATGGTTTTGAATTAAAGAACAGAATAAATTATGTTGTAATTATGATTTGGTCAAGCTTCCGCAATATTGAAAACTCCGTACTGTTTATATTATGAAAAATATTATTATGATAAATAAAAGTGTTTGAAATGTTTTAAATTTTTACGATTACCAAGTTAATACTTTAGTCCGAAAGGGGCTGCAGACCTGGACGGATTAGGGTGTTACATTTTGGTATCGGAGCAAATGGTTTTAAAACCGATCTTTGGATCGAATTTTGATATTAAAATAAAATGTCAATCACATCCACGACTCTCGTGTTAGCCTTGGTTTGCTAAACTTCATGTTTTGATGT